GGTTCAGGGTGTCATAATACCCCAGATGGGGCCCCCTAACTCTAATCTGGTGGTGACGCACCTCTCTTTTATGGGACGCCACAGGGATAGTGGATGAGACCAAGGAGTACCAGGATGTTAGGGTCCCATTAGTGGCTCCAGGGACATCTGATCCTTCCACTCAGGTGGGCAACATTATCAGACCTGTTAAATTTCTGCAGTACATGATCTCCCTTCCTGGACTGGACAATTGAGGCTGAAAGTTCTGGGTCAAGCAGGAAGAGCAATGGGTGTCCACAGAGGTAGTCTCAGGATACGGACACACAGCCTGGGGTGCAATACCTGGACAGCCAGCACTGCAGGTAATAGAAACACCTCCAGCCACAAAGTATGAGAAGAGGGTAGAGGATGGGGAAGCAAATCTTTCCCCTTTTTGTTTCATTAGAGTGCCCAGTAGTGCCTAGATTGACAACACACTGGTGAAGATTAGCAGTGGCAGCAGTAGGTGCGGATTTGAAGCACTGTGGACCTGCCACCTGTGTATTTGGAGCTTTCCCTCCAGGCATGAATAGTCCACATGTGACATGTTGCCAATCTGATGGGGGCACCAGTAAGAGTGTGACCCTCCGTGTGGGTTCAGATCCACAGGTACTGAATACCCTGTTCACAAAGCTTACCTTAAACATAGGAATATGTTCTAATGGGCTTTTCTTATAGATTAGCAAACTGGGAAGCATCCCATCTAAAGATTTGGAAAGGCTCCTGTGAGCTCCTGTGAGCTGAGCAGAGATGGGCTTTATAGGTATAAAAGAAGCGGAAGCAGGGAACAAAAAGCAGATTGATCATATCAAAGTTACTTTCCTTGTAGCGTTAAGGAAGAGGGAACTTCCTTACCCTCTGGCTCAGGTAGACTGGGCCCCTTCTGCTTGGTTGGAAAACTGGCCTGTTTTTAAAGTTTAGTTTGATGACGTGATCTCATGCCTGAGTGGCTCCATTCTGGTTTGGTCTGGTCTGTTGGACCTAGTGCAGGAGCTCAGTGCAAAACAGTGGCCTTTTCTAATTTTTATTTAACACAATTCTGCCTTAATCTTTACTCCTTACATAAACACAGCTCCCTGTAAGCACATGGCCTCCTAGAGTCCTAGGAGTATGTTGGAGATTTTCAAAGCTCATATAGATATCTTATTCCCCAGCTTTTTGGTTAGTTTTTTGTTTGCTCCAAATATTACATCCCCCCAGGCAGCTGTGATGTTGTGGCCTCTGATTATTTTTTGACAAATGTATTTGGGGAAAAGGCTGTTCAGACCAGGGGAAAACTCTGTGTCAGGTCAAGTAATGACAACCATGAGAATGAGTCTTCCTGGGAAACCAATGGGCCGGTCAAACAATGACAATTCTCTATGAATAAGTTGCTCTAACTCCCTCCTCACCTCTCCAGTGGCTACTGGGCTGCTGGCTTTCACTGTGGGCTTTTCGTTTTCAAGTTGGCTATGGGGCTGGAGCCTGGGGAGATGGGAGAAATTAAAATGCCACAAAGCTCTCTGTTCTTGCTGAGATTCCATAATTTGTATTGAATAAACTCTCCCCAGATTGCTACAAGCTTTGGTTAATTTCCAGAGCTCTGAAAATGTTAGTTAAGACCTTTTCTGTCAGTTTTCTCATTGCTTTTATGTAGAAAAAAATTTTCAGAGACCTTTCCTTTGCCACTTTCACTGACATAATCCCAGAGAGTTTTTTAAATGTGAAAGTGTTTTCACTCTTTAAAGGGCATAACTGTGTTTTGACCTGGCAGGAGGTCTTGTATCCTGGGGAGTTCTAGATTAGCTAGTTAGAGATTGAACTTGTCAGAGAGGGGAGGACTCTTCTGTGGACTATAGGAAGAAGTCCAGGGGGGCAGGGGGAAAATCATATCCAGAGATGGCCAGGGGAAGGGTGTGAGGCAGGAACATGGTTCAGCACAACGGCCAGCGGGCAGCAGGCCCAGCGCTGATGGTTCTAGATGTGTGTCCCCATGCTCCATCCACCCTGGTTCTTGGGACCTCAGACACAGGGGACTCTCAGTGCTGACCCAGTGCCTGCCCAGATAGGACCTGAAGGCAGCTGATTCCTGGAGCCTCTCTAGCACAATCAGGAAGCCGCAGTTGCTGGCTTCCTATCTGAAAGGTCCTTCTGCACTTCCGGTCAGTGCCTAGGTGGACATTCCCAGTGCTCATTCAGCTGCTTGCTGGGATTTAATTACTCACCTGAGCTCAGAGAACTTTTGTGGTGTGGAATATGCTTCCTGTCTTAAATTCTCCCTGAAGACACATGATGATGTCACACAACAAATCTCGAAGTCTGAGCTATGAGACTGTCCTTCTAGGATGCCATGTTGATTGGAGGCAACAGTAAGTGGAGATAGTGGCAGGTCTGGACTTGATGATTGATGTTTGACAGGGGTTGGGGAATGGATAGGTCCCTCGTTTATTACTCTTAGAATCAGAAAGATTTGAAAAACATGAACTTGAATCTTCTCATTCTCACAAGGTCAACAAGGTCTCCAAAGAGCAAGTGACATGGTTTTCTGTAAAGTCTGGGATGTTTCCAGTCTTTGATTGGCCTTTCTGTCTCCCTGTGGCTTTGGGCAAGTCATTCACACAACCCCAAGGCCTCAGTATCTCATCTGTGTAATGAAAGAGTTGGACTAGTCCCTAAAGACCTCAACATTGAGAGCGTATGTACTTTTTATTTGAGGGGGTCAGTGTTCTTCAGTCTGGGTAGCCCCATTCTTTTTCCTTCTCACAGCCAGTATTTCATAAATCTTTTCTTTTCTTTCTTTTTCTTTTTTTTGAGACAGGGTCTTGCTTTGTCACCCAGGCTGGAGTGCAGTGGCGTGAACATGGCTCACTGCACCCTTGACCTCCAGGTCTCAAGCGATCCTCCTGCCACAGTCCCTCAAGTAGCTGGGACTACAGTCACATGTCACCATGCCTGGCTAATTTTTCTTTTTTTCTTTCTCTCTCTCTCTGTCTTTTTTTTTTTTTTTTTGTAGAGATGGAATCTCCCTATGTTGCCCAGGCTGATCTCAAACTCCTGAACACAAACGATTCACCCGCTTCGGCTTCCCAAAGTGCTGGGATTACAGGCATGAACCACTGTGCCTGGCCTCATAAATCTTATCTGAATACACAGACTCAACTTTCTTACCTCCCCTCCTCTTCTCAGTTCCTTAAATTCAGGCTTCTTCCTCCAACAATATGACTCCCACCCAGGATATCAAGAAGCTGCTGCTTACTTACAATTCCAGTGACCCTTTCTCTATGTTTGTCCTTCTCAAACCCTCAGCAGTGAACACTTTGCACCAGTTTGTCCTTTTCATTTCGTCCTCCTCTTACTTACAGAATTGACAAGAGGTCAGTATGACTGCATGCAAGGAAGCAAAAAATGGGCGGTAGGTGACTTGTGTACCGTCGGCTTCCTGGCTGGATCCTCAGGGTGTCCCAGGCATTTCCACACAGAGTAGCCGCAGCCAAGGGCATACTTTGTCTGCTGGAATTAGTTCATCCTCCCAGATCCCCAGGTACCCACAGCTCCTCAGCCTGACACCTGGACACACACCTCACCCACGCCCTCGCCCACATCCTTCCAGATCCACCTTCTGAACATCTTTCAAATTTGCCATTTTCTTTTCTTTCCAACTTTTATTTTACATTCAAGGGGTACATGTTTTACCCAGGTAAACTGTGTGTTGTGGGGGTTTGTTGTATAGATAATTGTGTCATCCAGGTAATCACCATAGTACCCATAGGTAGTTTTTCAATCCTCACTCTCCTTCCGCCTTCTACCCTCAGATAGGTCTGGTGTGTATTATTTCCTTCTTTGTGTCCATGTGTACTCAATGTTTAGCTCCCACTTGTAAGTGAGAACACGAGTGCTTGGTTTTCTGTTCCTGCATTGATTCTCTTAGGATAATGGCCTCCACCTGCATTCATTTTGTTGCAAAGGCTATGATCTCTCTTTTTTTTGGAGATGAAGTCTCGCTCTGTCGTCCAGGCTGGAGTGCAGTAGCGTGATCTTGGCTCACTGCAATCTCCACCTCCCTGGTTTAAGCTATTCTCCTGCCTCAGCCTCCTGAGTAGCTGGGATTACAGGTGCGCACCACCATGCCCAGCTTATTTTTGTAGTTTTAGTAGAGATCGGGTTTCACCATGTATGATCTCATTTTTTAATAGCTGTGTAGTATTCCATGGTATATATGTACCATATTTTCTTTATCCAGTCCACCATTGATGGGCATCTAGGTTAATTCTATATCTTTGCTATTGTGAATAGTGCTGTAATGAATGTGTGTGTATCTTTTTGGTAGAAGGATTTATATTCCTTTGGGTATATGCCCAGTAATGGGATTGCCAGGTCGAATGGTAGGTCCATTTTAAGTTCTTTAAAAAATCTCCTGACTGCTTTCCACAGTGGCTGAGTTAGTTTACATTCTTACCTGCAGTATAAGCATTCCTTTTCTTTGCAACCTCGTTGTCATCTGCTATTTTTTGACCTTTTAATAATAGCTGTTCTGACTGGTTGAGATGGCATCTTATTGTGTGTTTTTAAAAATTAAATTTAATTTTTTTTGACGGGGTCTCACTTTGTCACCCAGGCTAGAGTGCAGTGGCATGATCTTGGCTCACTGCAACCTCCACCTTCTGGGCTCAAGCAGTTCTCCCACCTCAGCCTCTCGAGTAGCTGGGACCACAGGCACACGCCATGACCCCTGGCTAATTTTTGTATTTTTAGTAGAGATAGGGTTTTGCCATATCAGTCAGGCTGGTCTTGAACGTCTGCCCTTAAGTGATCCGCCTGTCTTGGCCTCCCAAAATGTTGGGATTACAGATGTGAGTCACCACACCTGGCCTTCATTGTCGTTTTAATTTGCATTTCCCTAATACAAATCTGCCATTTTCATTCCTGGTGTGGCAAGCTTGTGTGTCATTAACCGTACCTGGAGTATTATATCTACCCTGAACGCCTTATCCCCCCTCTCTAAGGATGCCTGGGAAAGCCTTCTGAAATCTACACACACTTGAACACCTCCCTGACCTGCTCAAGACTATTCAGATCTACAAAGTAGGTGCCAAACTCTGTGCCATGGCCCCAATCACCCAGGCCAGGGCTGTTTCCAACCCAGGAGCCCTCAAGTGATGGTGAAGGATGACAAGGTCCCTGATGCAGAAGAAGCCATTTTATTAGGTGAGGCAGGTGGGATGTTACACACGCCTGGTGGGAAAAGAGAGGGAGCAGGTTCCTCGGAGAGAAGGCGACTGTGTCATCTTCCAGCACATGGGTCAGTCATCTGTGAGCACTGGGAAGCTGGGCCAGAGGGAATGGATTGAGCAGCAAGAAATAGTTATGTTGGGGGAAGACCCGAATCAGGATGGAGACTCAAGGTCAGTGAGTGTTACTGGTATTGACTCATCATCAAACTCATGCCTCAAAGGGACAGGAGGAGGCCAAGACCCTGGGGAAGGAATCAGGCTTGGGGTCAGGGCTCCGTGCGCGTGTGTTTGAGTGAGTGTGTGTCTGTGTATCGATGTGTACTTGTGTTTGGTGAGTCCACCGATGTGGGCGTGTGTGAGTATGCTGGTGTGAGAGTGTGTGCGTCTGTATCAGTGGCCATGTGTCTGGGCATTTGTGTGTGTGTTTCTCCTGGTAGCTGTGCTGCCTGCATCCTTCCACCTCTGTCAGCTTTTCTGTGGATTTCTCTGTGCATCCCTGTGTGTACCTCTGTAGATGTTTGTCTCTTTCTTTGGATGTCATTGTCCCATGCTGCCGGCTGCCTTCTACCAGGAGAAGAACAGCCAGCCCCCAAAATCCTGGGGCGTGGGGAGGGGCACTTACCAGCTCAGCAGAGGACAGGCCCCTTCCTGGAAGGCTTAGACCTTGATGACAAACTGTAGTCCGTGGATCAACATGTCTAGAAAAACAAACAAATAAACAAACAAACAAACAATAAAAAAAAAAAAAACAGACCACAGTCATGATCTCAACGTGAAGGAGTCCACATTCCTAAAGGTGGGGGGCCAGGGAATGGAGGCCTCTGGAGATCCGACTGTGTTCAGCATGCTTGGAGGAAGCCAGGCCTCCTTCTACCAACCAGCCCAGCTGTCCTCAGTGTCAGGGCTGAGGCAGGAGACACAGTGTCTATCTCAAAATCATCTGGATTATTCTGGGGAAAAAGAAGCCCAAAATGGAGAGAGTTGAGGCCAGAGGGACCCAGTATCCTAGGGTGTGCAGGAAAAAAACTCCTTGGGGGAAGTTGCTGCTCCTGCAGAGGGGGACAGAGGGCTGGAAAGCAGGTACTTACTGGCAATGTCATGCGCCAGGGTGACGTCCAAGCCACTGAGAACCTCATTGACCAGAGGGCACACCTGGCCAGGGGCAGAGGGGTGAGTTAGACAGAGTGGCACCCTGGAGCAGCAGAATCCCCAGCAGGGGTTCTCTGGGGAAATTTCCTGTCATTTTTCAGTGTGAAAGTGATTCTAAGCAATCCCACAGATCAATGACCACACATGCACGAGGAGAAACTGGAGGCATGAGGGATGTTGTGAAGGACCCCAAATCACACAAGCCCAGTGTTCACTCTGTGACATCACATCTGATTCTAAGTAGAGTGGAGTGTTCTGGTTATAGGAGACACCCAGGCATAGGTTGGAAGACTGTCTGTGGCCATAGAAAGCTGGGCAGGGAACTTCTCCAACTTCTCAGAACAGGGGCCAATCCTTTTCAGCTTCAGTGTGGACAGGCAGGGCCTGGCCTAGAGCAGAGACTCATCAATGCATTTGGAAAGATGTAAAGAAGAAATATGGACAGATGGATCAATGGAAAAATAGATTGATGAATGGAAATTACTTATCAAATTGAAGGACTTGGACCCACTCAGCCCAGGGCTTTGTTTCAGTGCAAGAAGTTCTAAAACTTGGTTTAGATCAGGGGATCCCCACCTTGCCCACTTACCTTGCCCTGAACCAACTCAGGCAGGACTTTATTCAAGATCCCTGTGAGGTTGTCCAGAAGACCTTGAATGGGGAGGGGGCCAAGTCTGAAAGAGAAAAGCCATGGGTGATGCAGGGACCTGGAGTTGGTGTGGAGAAGGCTCCAGAGGGGGACACTGTGAACCCCACAGTCTCAACACTCAGTCACTAAAGCAGAGCTTTGTCTGTCTACACCCGTGTGCAGGCCAACAGCAAGGGTCCTATTGAAAGGGAGTTACATTTGTGTACAGCAGTGCACACACAGGTATGTGTAGGATAAACACATGGTTCTCAGAAAAAGCAGGTGTCAATAAGGCTTTGCAGAGTCTATAAATGAATTGATACTACTTAGTATGTAGTTGTCATGAGGATCCAATGAGATGACACATGTGAAGCCCAATGTATGTGCTCATTAAAAGTTAACCACATGGGCAACTTTTGCATAATAGGTATGACACAGTCTCCCCATGTGACAGGTAACTGAAATAAGTAACCTAGTTAGGATCCATGTCTATTTTACCCCTTACTGGGACAAAGCACTTTCACACCTATTATCTTGGTAGATTCTGTCAATAACTCCAATGCAGTTCCATACTGCAGATAAGTAAACTTAGAACTAAATTGGAGAAGCACTACCCAAGTTCACATAGGAAGCCCTCTGTCCCCATTCCTATGTAATATGCAGGGCTTAAACTCCAATTTCTTGTTGCTAGATCCAGCATAAAATTGGTTATCTTGGTTTAAGAAGGGATAAGCGACTACTTATCTATCTATCTATCTATCTATCTATCTATCTATCTATCTATCTATCTATCTATCTATCTATCTATCTATCTATCTATCTATGTATTTATCTATCTATCTAACCATCCATCCATCTATCTGTTCATCCTTCTCTCCATCCACCCAACCAACTAACCATCTGTCAGTCCATCCATCCATCCATCCATCCATCCATCCATCCATCCATCCATCCATCTTTCCACCCTCCCTCCTTCCCATCCATTTTCCCACCCTTTCAGCCTCTCACTCATCTATTCTGTCATTGTCCCAGCTTTCCAACCATCCATGCAGCATCACACCATGTCATCTCTGGGCAGGAGAAGCTGCTCCTCTGGCCTCACCCATCAAGCAGAGAGATATGCAGGCTTCCAGGAGAATGGGTGCAGTCACCAAGGACCAGGTGGATCCTCCCCTGCTTATCTCTCACGGCTAAGATTTCTGCAGTGATGTTCAGCTTCACAGCCAGCCTCAACAGACTTGCACCAACCAGGGGCCTGCAAAGGAGACAGCCCCACTGGTATCTGGCTCCACCATATTCCAAGGAAGAGGGTTATTTTCTCCTTGCCAAGAATGCTAGCCTCACCTCCTTCCATCTTGCCCACAGTTGTACTTATCTCATTTTCTAGCAGAAGAAACAAAGGCTTAAGAGGTCAAGTGAGTTTCCCAAGTGACCCAAGGCTGCTCAGCATAGCAGCAAATGAGCTGAATTGGAGGCTTAGGTCTGTTAGACTCCAATACCCCTGTTATGGTTACCCATGGTTACCCATGGTCACCAGGGTCTCCCTTGGTGAGCCATCCTCTCACCCCCTCTTGGGACCCACTCACGTATTCACTTGGAGATTTATGCCGAGAGGGATGGTGACATAGAGACGGTGGCCATCAGGGCTCTGCACAAGGCCAAGTTCCAGCAGCTGGGGGTCAGTGACCTTTATACTGTCCAGGGAGTAATATTGGAGGGGGAAATATTAGATCTTCTAACTCCAAATCCAGAAACCATCTTTAACCTAACAGTACTCATCCCAGAGGTAGAACTTCCCACCCAGGATAGGGAGACGGGAGGGGAGTCTTGCAGCCTAAGCCACATGAGTCTGAGTCACACATCAGGTCTTTTCCAGCCTCTGCCCTGGAACAGATCTGACACACACACAGTGCCCTTTCCTCATCTCCAGTCTATGATGTATTCAGGAGAGCAACTGTGTCTGGATTATATTTGCATCCTGTATGCCAGCTAAGAGCCTTACAAAGAAAGTGGCTACTTCATATTAGTTGACTGTGGATTGATGAGAAGGTGGATAGCGGATACGTGGGTGGATGGATGGAAGAGTAAGTGATTAGGTAGAAGGATGAATAACTGGATGATGGATTGGTCAGTGGATGAATGAATGACGCAGGTGCAACTGGAAGTAAACCTGCACAAACACTTATGGGTAAGAATCACCCACCCTGTCAGGTGGCTGATCACCAAAGTTTATCATGGGGATTGAGGAGCAGGAAGTCAGGGAGAGTGCAGAGAGGGTGGAAGGAAGCCTTTCTCCCATTGTCCTATCTTTCCAACCATCCATCCATCATCATACCCTGTTGTCTCCAGGAGAAGCCAGCCGTCTGACCTCACCCACCAAGCAGGGAAGCCATTTGATGGGTGAAGCCATTCACTGAGCCAGCCTCTGTGCCAGGTGATTTACACCTTTTCCAGTCCTCCCAATAGACTTCCTCTGTGGGTTCTATAATCTACATTTTACAGATGGAGAAACCAAGCACGGAGAGACAGGGTGTCCTGTCCCAGGTCATCCAACAAGTACATTTGAAAATCGAAGTCAAGAAGTCTGTCTGTCTCCAAGTCAGGGAGCGAGACCCTGGGTGGGTAGGATTTTGGAAATGGCTTTGATCCAGTCCTATCCAGGACCCAGGCTTTCCCAGCTCACTGGCATCAATCTTCCATTCTTGCTTTTTGCTTTGCGAGCTCTTGGCTGTCTCATGGGAAACACCACATTAGACCTTTCCATGGACATCACACTGTTCTTCATCACATTGATATCATCAAGGTGATATCTTGGTGATATCACTCTCGCTTACATCAAAGGCCATCTGTGTTCTAAGGGATTTCACAGGTGGAGAGAACAAAATGACCACAGTGTAGTGGGAAGAGCCTTGGCTTTGGACTTAGGAAAGTAGAGTGAGAGCCTTACTCACTTGGCATCACTCTAGCAGCGGGAACACAAGCACCTCTGTGCCTTGGTTTTCCTATTTGCAAACTGAAGATTATTAAATCGACCTCAGAGGGTAGTTGTGAGGATTACAGATGATGCTGGGGCCTCAGGACATGCCTAGAACTGAGGGCATTGCTGGTTTGCCAGACTGGAGATGGGTCTCAGAACTGAGTCCTGGCTCCCCCTTCAGGCTGCCACCTCACTGCTTCAGTGCCACTGCCTGGGGCTGGCAGATCTTCACCTGGGGTTCCCTGGCGGAGATCAAAGCTCTATTTTAGGGCAACTCACTCAATGATGTTTAGGCCGGGGATCACTGATGTCACTTTCCCAAGCAGTCCCCCAAGGAGGCCACCAGAAGTACCTCCTCCAGGCTTCAGGATGTCCAGGAGCGGAAGGTTTTCCAGAATGCCCAACAGGCCCCCAGAGAGCAGGCCATTGCCGAGGGCTGGAAATGGGCATAAGGGTCTCTGGGGGTCAGATCTGACAATTCCAGATCCTCAGGCCCCCTCCCCCATCCAGCCCTGTCCCTCCCCGCTTCGCAGGGTTGGACACACTCTCTCTCTGTCACACACACACACACACACACCCCCCTGAAAGAAGTTGTCACAGACTCACCATTTGTCAAGCTTCCTGCAAGACCTGTGGGACTCAAGGGCAGGGCTGGATTCACAGTCAAGGGCAGGGCCTGGTCCAGGGGCACAGGCAGGCCTCCAAACTGGGCCATGGTCTGGGCTAACAGCCCGTAGAAGACAATGAGGACCCCAGTTTGAAACATCTTTGTTCTTAGTATCTGTGGACAGAATGACAAGTCCAACAGGGCATGGATATCAGAGAGGAATTTATGCACCACCTGCCCCTGCCGCCTAGGGGGTGGGGTTGTCATTCGTTTGCTCCCCAGAACACCAGGGGGTCACTAGTAATAGCTAACACTGCTGAACAATTTCTCCTTGCCAGGCAGCAGGCTGACTGCTTTACACAATTTCATCTTCATCACAACCCTAAGACATGGGCACCTGTTACCTGCGTTGCGCAGGTGAGGGCCACTGATCAGGGGCCTAAAAAGGAGACAGCCCCACTGGTATCTGGCTCCAGCACATTCCAAGGAAGAGGGTTTTTTTCCTCCTTGCCAAGAATCCCAGCCTCACCTCACTCCATCTTGCCCACAGTTGTATTGTCTGATTTTCCAGTAGGAGAAACCAAGGCTCACAGAGGTCAAGTGAGTTTCCAGTTGGGAGTTTCAAATGTACTGCCATCACCTCTTGAAACCCACTCATGTACCCAAGTACCACTCATGTACCCAAGTACTCATGGCCTGAGTGTGGGTAACTTTCCCCAAGGTCACAAGTACACAGTGGAGAGAGGATTGGAAGCTAGAGCCAGGTGAACACTCTGTTAAATTAAGTAACCATCAGATTTATCCTCCAATCGGGCTTGCCTCAATGGCTTGAATCATTGCTGCTCTTCAGACAAAGCAAGTGAGAAGGGTTAAACATGCAAGTGCTGAAGAACTGAGCTGTTTTGCATCATCCCCGTTCAGTCCTTTGGCCTGACGGTTGGTGGATGCCCTTGAAAGTCACACAATATAGGGATCGCATGGCCACAGCCACCATCTCATGCAGACCTGTGTTGGGAAATTCCTGGGGCCATCAGGTCTGTTTCTCTTGCATGGCCCCCAGTGAGTGATCTTGAGTATGGTCTGCCTGCCCCACAGTGAGGAGCCTGAGATCCCTGCTGTCAAGGGTAGCAGAGGGGCTGCAGAATGGACAGCTCTTACCTGGACTTCTTAGAGGTCTCAGCAGCTGTCCTGGTCTCCTCTGTCTCCCCCACTCACTTCTGCCGAGGAGGCAGCCTCTTTTATAGTATGGGGACCAGGAAGCGTGTGTTGGGTGATGGGTTTCTAGATAATTGAGAATTCTGCAATCTGGCGGCGTCTTTCAGGGCTCTCCAAAGCAAATAATTGCTAATCACATTAGCAGGTGGGACGGTTAAACTATTTGGTCGACAAGATAAACAGAAAAACCTGAGATGGGATGTTACTCAAGACTTTATGGTTTCCTGAGCGGGGCCAAGGTTGGGGACCCACGCTCCCTAGGTAGCTTCGAGCATTGAAAGGAGCAGCCAGCCAGTCAGAGCCCAGGAAGGGACCTCAGTCTCATCTGTTGGACTCTTTCCTTTCCTGCTCTAATTGTTTTGCTCCAATTGTTGGAGGATTCTTTCTCCTAAAGTGTCAAAAGAGACACTGCATCCGACATCTGGGGTGTGTCTCCATTCCAGGGATTCTCCTGCCTCAGCCTCCTGAGTAGCTGGGACTACAGGCAAGTGCCACCACACCCCACAAAGATTTTGTATTTTTTAGTAGAGACGGGGTTTCACCATGTTGGTGAAACACAGTGGGTGTCCTGTTTTCAGAGCCCCTGTTGCACATCAGGAGCTCTCTGTCCTCACAAGAACCCTGAGAGGGAGAGGTTACTGCTCCTTTTTTTATAGAGGAGGAAACTGAGATCCAGTGGGGACAAGTGCTCAAAGACCCAGAGAGGATGCAGCACAGTTAGAATGCAACTGACTGGAGAATGAAAACAACAAAAACAGTGCCAACAGCAGACACTGGCCGAGCTCCTGCTATATGCCCAGCCTGCCACCGTGTTCACATGCAGCATCTCACAAAATCCTCACAGCCCCGTACTCCTATTCTACAAGGGGGAAACTGAGGCTGAGTGTGAGGCGAGCTGTCCAGAGATGCACTGCTGGCCTGGGGTGAGATCCACACTCTGGTCCTTTCCCCGTATCACTGTGCTAAGAGACGAAGGTGCCTCCCCACACTTGCTGGCCGTTTTGATTTCCCCACCTGTGAACTTTATGCTTTCATGCTTCCCTTTTTATTTTTTAAATTTTCACTTAATTCTTATTCTGTTTTATTTTATTTTGAGACAGAGTCTTGCTCTGTCAACCAGGCTTGAGTGCAGTGGTGCGATCTCGGCTCACGACAAGCTCCACCTCCCAGGTTCAAGCGATTCTCCTGCCTCAGCCTCCTGAGTAGCTGGGACTACAGGCAAGTGCCACCACACCCCACAAAGTTTTTGTATTTTTAGTAGAGACGGGGTTTCACCATGTTGGTCAGGCTGGCCTCGAACTCCTGACCTCAGGTGACCCACCTCGGCCTCCCAAAGTGCTGGGCCACTTCTCTTTTATATCCTGGAAAAGACTTTCTGGGTTCCCAGGCCTGGTGGTCTCTATCCTACCCTTTCTTCTACCTTTCCCTAAGTGGAGTAATCAGGCATTTATCCCCACCACTTGGGCTCTTGGAGTCTGTTTAGCAGATGAAAAGATGAAGACACAGGAAGGCCAAGGTCCTGGACCAGTGAGCGCAGCAAAACCTAACATCTTATAAGCAAAAGTGGAGAGAGAAGGAAGAAATATGCATTTATTAAGCGCTGACTGCATGCCAGGTGCTCTCCATATTTGAACTTCATCTTCTTCAGGAGTGGTTGGTATTGTTGTCTCTTACACATTGGATGAGGAGGCTGAGGGTCAGAAAGGGTGACTGCCTCCTGGGGACACACAGCGAGTGAGTGTTGGAGTCAGTTGACCCCGCCACCCTCCATGTCTTTCTGAGTCCCTGGTAATCAGTGGGCCACACTGCTCCCTCACACTGGGCTTTACCGGCCTGCTCCACTGCTCTCCAGATTCTGGGTGGGGCCTCCAAGGCTTTGGGGCCATGGCTTTGACCTTCATTATCCATTCAAGGTACTTGCTGGACTCTGCCCACATCTTGTACATGGCAGTCATCCTCACAGTGGTCCCATCGTATGACTCTTGTGGGTCGGGTCAGGTTGCTACTATCCTTGTGGGAAAACTGAGGCAGATAAGGCAAGGAATTAATAGAGTTTGTGCAGCCAGTTAATGAAAGCTTACACCCTCTGGTTTGAGATCGGGAGGCTGTGTCTGTACTGCATCCGAAAGTGGGTGAATTTGGGCTCAAACAGCTCTGGTTCAAATCCTACGACCCTGGGCAAGTCAGTCCAGTCCCTTGAACTTCATTCAGTTTCCTCGCCTGTAAAATTTGGGGAGAATAAAATCCGCCTCACAGGGCTATGGGGAGATGACGTCTGGGGAGCTGGTATGAATCACAGTTCATAAACTCGGGCGTCCACACATCTTTCTGATTTATCTATACTTTACCATTTCAAATACCATTTTGCTCAGGAACAGAAATGTCCCCATTCCCCTTTGGGGTTTCATGTCTGTGCTAGGGGCTTCATTTGTGCCAAGGGGGCTGCCTGTCCCTGTTTTTGGCTGGCAATACGGAGACAGCCATGTGCCGTCTGCTCCTAGACTGCGGAGACACTGTACTTCCCTCCTGGTGAAAGGTCCCTTCGGATTTAGCATTTACTTTCAACTGCTTCGTAAGACACAGAATTGTTCTGCTGTTCGCCAGTTCCTTGGGCCTGATACAGGACTGTGAGGGTCTGCCCAAGCCCACCTGCCTGGATCCACCTAGACCTTCCCGTTACCCTTCTCTCCCCGGGGTCTCATCCTCTCCTCTGGCTCAGGCTCTGGGAGCGAGCGTGGACACAGACACCCTCTGTCCCTGGATCCCACACATGTGCCTGGGATTCTGTTCCCTTCCTCCCACACCCAGGTCTGCCTGGGAACAGCAAGGGACTGAGTCACCATCAGAACCCACCAGAACTATGCTCCTTCCAGTTCTCCTGGACCCTCACACTTCACCACCCCAACATAGGGCATTTTCTAGTCTTGTGGGCAGGAAGTTTTGCTTCAACTTCATTATGTGTGTGCTGTTCTCAGACTCCCCTATGCCCTGATTTTGACAAGTCAAAAGCCAAGACTATAAAAACAAAAAAACTTACAGTAAAATTGACTTCTTTTAGTGGTATGGTCCTTTGAGTCTTACTACGTGTATAGTCAGCCACCATCATAATCAGAGTACAGAACAGTTCCATCCTCCCAAAAGCACTCTCATGGGTCCCTTTACAGTCACCCCCTGCCCCCATCTGCTGGCAACCGCCTGTTTGTTCTCTGTCACTACCACTACCACTTTATCAAAAACTCAGGCTCCTGAAAGTCAAGAGCCTTGTTTCTGCTTCTGTTGAAACTGCCCTCCCTTGTGGCCACAGGGACTGCATGCTCCATGCCCTGAACAGGGGAAAGGTCTCAAGGCACCAGGAAACCAATGGAAGGACACACCATGAACGTTTTAAGAGGTTTACCCCACACTGGTGACATCAGTACCCTCCCCATGTGTTTCTCAGAAACTGTAGGTGATGCCTTTCCTTCCTGCTTCTCAGATTGCAGTTGTGTTTGGAAGCCTTTGCTGAGGGTGTTTTGTCAATCAAGAGATCCATGTCTGGCCAGGTGTGGTGGCTCACACCCGTAATCTCAGCACTTTGGGAGGCCGAGGCGGGTGCATCATTTGAGGTCAGGAGTTTAAGACCAGCCTGGCCAACATGGCGAAACCCCATCTCTACTAAAAATACAAAAATTAGCTAGGCATTAGTGGTGTGCACCTGTAAACCCAGCTACTCGGGAGGCTGAGGCAGGAGAACTGCTTGAGCCTGGGAGGTGGAGGTTGCAGTGAGCCGAGATTGTGTCACTGCATTCCAGTCTGGGTGACAGAGTAAGACTCCGTCACAAACAAACAAACAAACAAAAGATCCATTTCTAAAGGGCAGAATTGGTTTGATTTTTCAAAGGGCTGTGACCTATGCTAGTATGCAAGGTCTCTTCTCCAGAATGTGAGAATGGGATGTGGGATCTGCTCCC